GTTCAGGATTATGTTATAGAAATGTGCAGAGTATTATAAATTTGCAGGGGACTTGGATTTGTATAAAACATTGGAACAATACTTGCCAAATATATATTTAATTGAAAACAAAATTATATTGTGTGTACTTTATTAAAAAAAATTACCTGTTTTGAATTCTATATTCTACTTGAAACATTCTCCTTGGAGAGAATATACACCCACATTCCCATCAACATGGCTATTGAATAAAATTGAACTTGTGCTTATGCCTGGAGTTGTGTCCTTCTTCTCAGGTTCTCATCTGTCTGTTATCATTTCTGATGTTTCTACATTCTTGATAAAAAAAAAACAAGACAACTTGATGATACCTCAATCCAAATTGACATGACCTCTCCTAGTGATTTCATATAGATGTTGAATGGGGGCGGGGAGGCAATCCCTGTGCCATCCCACAGCAATGGATTCAAGGACTGAGTCTGCTGTTATACTCTAAATGAAAAAGATAAAATTATTGTGGAAATGGGCTAAAACCTGAACTGAAAAGAGGCCATGAGGTACCAAAGTTTGTCCATTAAACCATCATAGAGCAACCAGCCTACAGTAGCAGAGCAATGCTGCAAATGATGTTTTGCAGGCCAAATACCAGTTTATGTAGCTTACATGCCCAGCTACATCCTATAGAGGAAAGCAAATTATTCTCTCAGTCTCTGATTACTAGAGGGAATTGGTTGGTGGTGTTTATTCCTAATGACTGATTGACTGACTTTACTAGTTCAGTTCTCAGTCTATCCCTCAGCATAAACAAAACTTAGCCATGGATTCCTGGGGGAAAGAAAGCTGTTTTGTGGAGCAGGGTACATATTGTCTCTTTAGTTAATTACACAGAAACACAATAAATCATCTCGGACTACTTCCATGTTTTTAAGCAACAGTATGCTCATGTTACTGTTTTTCTCTGGAATTGTTTCTTGCTAAATCATTTTTTAAGAATATCTCCATAACATAATTGCAGCCTCTTACATTCCAGAATATAAGAGCAGCCTTCCTCAACCTTGCACTTCAAGAATGCTGACTGACCTCCATAAGCCAGCATCCAGCCAATTTACTTTGGAGGGAAGCACCAGTGTGAAGAAGGCTGTATTATAGAAAGGCCTTGGCCATGGAGCAAATTATTGATAATGGTATATGATAATAGTATAATTAATGTTCTGGATAGCTTCCAAGTTGCAAAAATTAGTTTCTTCAGGGAAATGTAACTCTATTCAGACCCAACTTTGGGACTGGGATCAAGCCTGATCATGTAAATAGCAACTCTGTCTTTCCAGGGATCAAATTTGTGTTTGTTTTGACCCATCTGGCCTCCACATGCTCCACACACTGGACCAGGACCTCCACAGCATTCTTGGCCTATCCTTGGGTGGTGATTTACAGTAGAATATCAATGAATTGATGATACCTCAATCCAAATTGACATGACCTCTCCTAGTGATTTCATATAGATGTTGAATGAGGGCAGGGAGGCAATCCCTGTGCCATCCCACAGCAATGGATTCAAGGACTCAGCTGCTCTTCCCACATGCACACCCGCTAGAACCATCTATTCAGGAAGAGTGGAACCATTATAAAATGGTGCCTCCCACTGCCTACCATGCATACCATGGTTAATGGTACTGAACACCACTGAGAGGTCTAATAGGACCAGAAGAGGCACAGTTCTTCAATCTCAAAACAAAGATCACTGACCAGGGCAATCAATATTTCAGGCCTGAAATTTCAGGTCTGGGCCTGAATCCTGATCAAAAGGAGTCGAGATAATCTATTTCCTCTAGGATTCTGTTTAGCTGAAGCCCCATCAACTTCTCCAAGTTCTTCTCCAAAAAAAGAAAGATTGAAGTTTGAGTGGAAATTATCTAATGCAGCTAGAGCAAAAGATGGCCCCTTCAGGAAAGTCACAACACTACCTCCTTCAAGACAGATGATTCCTTCTGTCCCTCAAGGAGACATTGATCACTTCCCAGATTTAGTTATATATATTCCACCTGGTTGCCTGAAGAAGCCAAACAGGTTCATGCTACAGAGAACCGTATCAAGTTTTACAAGATCATCATCATCCTATATGATCTCATAAGAGAGTCATTTCACAAAATCCTGCCCAATTGGCATCAGACTGAACAAATGTGAACAATTTTATCTGCGAAAATGTCATTTTGCACCTTCACCAAAAATGTTAAAAATTGAGTTTTGACATTTAATTTCATGTCCTGAGCAGCCTTTTTTTTTTCTGTCTCTCATCAGTAGTTCATACAAGAATTTTATCTGAGGAAAATCAAAGTAAGTCAGAGAATCTTTTCTGTGCAAAATCTTGCACACAGTTAATTGTGTGTATAGCTTGTTTATGCAGTAATGCATAATAAATATTATGTGCAATGCTGCTTTTGTGAGTGGCAGTGCTTTCAGTGATGGTCCTCTAGAATTAATTTTGCTTCTTGGTAGGGCAAGCATTCTCATTTTCCTAAGACTGACAAAATACATTTCAAAATTCAATTAACAATTAGAAGCTGCAGGGATTCTGCTCTGTTTCTTGGCTTTTGACTTACATAATGCTCCAGGAATTCCATAACGTCCTTCTGAAACTACTAGCTGAAGTTATTAAAAAAAAAACTGATCCGAAATGGTTTCAGCTCTCATCATATCCTGGGATGCAGTAGAAATGCTAGACTAATAGTGCAAGGGTTGTGGATTAGAGCTGGTTGATCTTGTGTTCATGAAATTGCATTCTCTCTTAAAACACAGATTTGCAGAGTGGGATGATCCTTGATTTGCTATTGTTGATGGATGATCAGGCGGCATTTCTAATGCTGATTCCTTTTACTGATACTGTTTTAAGACATTGTATTGTAAAATTTTAAAAACAAGAATCTTAAGCAAAGAAAGAAAAAAAAAACCATGTACAAAAAAACCTTAGAAAATGCAACTTAAGATATCCATGGGATAGTCTTCCCTGACCTGGTGTCCTCTGAATGCAATGGACTACAATTTCTAATATTCCTAAACAACATAGTCATGAAGATCATGGCCAGAGAAAATTAAGGAGGCTGTTCTAAGACAGTAACGTTCAGAGACACTTTAGCAGAACCGTGGGTTCTTATGAATTTATACAACACTGGAGATCTTGGCAGGTTGGGGGGTGGCACTATATATAGATGATTAAACTGCAGTCAAACATGAGTTCTTCACTATTGTCTGATATAATAGAGATAGTGCGTTCACCTTCATCATATTATCTTTATTTGCTGGATGGTTGATTAATTTTACCAAGCTGCTTCTTAGTACATGACATGCCCTAACTTGCTTCTGGCAGAGATTTCTGTGTCCTGAGATCCCAATGAAACCACAAGATGCTAGATTGGATAATGTGATATTCTGATGGGAGGAAAACAGTTAATGAATTGTAAATGTGAAAAGCAAAACAATTCCATGTGGTACAATAGTTTTGAAGGATTTATTGAGGAAAGAATATTATCTCTGATGACATTTATGATTTGTTTTGAATTACATGTGTCTACTTAAATTGTCATTATGTGAATTTCAGAGCTGATTAAGCGCTGCAATTATATCCTTCATAGATTAATCATTAGAAGATTAGAGAAAGGGGAAAAAGAAGGAGAAGAGAATAGAAATCATATAGAAGGAAGAGAGAGTAGCTTCACCCAACTCTGATTCCTCAATAGCAATATTGTAGAAGACAATAGCAAATCACAGTACAATGAGCCACCTGAAGCCTATTGGTTCAACTGGGGAAGACCTCCCAAGCAGGGAAGGCATGGCAAAATGTCACGAAAATAACTGCCAGAGAAATATTCCAGAGAGGGGAGCTTCAGGATCTGGTTGGCCCAATCATTTGCTATCTGAGTATGAGCCAAGATAACCTACAGGAAGGACAGTTGCTAAAGCTCCAAGTAGCTCTCCTTTTTGAAAAATTCAACTTTAAATCAGGAAGCAAGACATTTAAAAGGTCTTTCTGGTGCTCTTTGGATATGTTGGGATTATAATTCCCAGAGCCAGAAGGCATGAGATTGGGGAAAGCATGATCTAAACCAGTGTTTTTCAAACATAGCAACTTTAAGATGTGTGGACTTCAACTCCCAGAATTCCCCAGCCAGAATCTCCTAATGGCCATTGAAGATCTAGCCGCTGTTTCATTTATATATTTATGGTGGGCTTTCCAGGATCCTGAGGTATGGAATATTGTCCCAAGGTATCTGAAGGAGAATGCTTGCCCTATGCTGGTCCCACGTGCTATGCTGTTTTGCCTTATGGCCAAAAATAATTATTTTGGACTTCTGATGGTTAATATTTAGTTTATGAAGATCACAAAAGTGTGCAAAAGCACTCAGTGCTCTTCTGAGTCCAGTTTGGAAATAAGATGTGATGGAATGTGTCTACAAAGAGGAGAGTGATGTGAGAGATCAAGGCTATCAGGAGGGAGGGGGTGCATTCCAGGAAGGAAAAGAAGAAAAAAGACAATGCAAGGGGAGCATGGGAAGTGAAAGACATTCAGGATACCCACTCCCTAGAATCTCCCAGGGTATATCCACTTGTTGCAGTAATATAGATTTAGTCTGGCAAGATTCTGTCTGTAAGGTGTGGGGAAATAAAGGAACTTAACTGGACTGATTCACTGTTGTTCTTGGGCTGGACCTGACATTAAGAAATTACCATAGCACTGTCAGCTTATAGAAGTAGGGGATCTGACACCCAGAAATTTGGGGAACATGGACAATTAGGGGATGTAAGACTTTCACCATATCATTGATATAAAAGTTGAATAGTGTGGGTGCTAAAATATATCCCTGTCTGACACCTTTGGAAGTATGTACTGTATATTCCTTGTGAGTGCTCCTTGAAGGTTTGAAGCAAGGTTTTAGTATGTACTGTAGCTTCTGAATTAGAAATAACAATTGTCTGTCCATGTTGGTACTTTGAAGCTTTTCCCA